GGCTGTGCCCGCAGGTGCTTTGTAGCTTGGGGCGGGCGGGGAGCTGGCCTGGTTGCAAGGAGGGCGTGAGCCAAGCCAGCGTCCCCCTTGCCCTGCCCGCAGACCGAGGGCATCCGGGTATCGGTGAACGTGCTGTCCAAGCTGAAGGACACACCCGTGCTCTTCGTGGTGAGGCAGAAGGAGGCAGTGGTGTCGTTCCAGGTGCCGCTGATCCTGCGGGGCCTGTAAGTACCCCCGTGTCACAGGAGACCGCGCCCCACACACGCCAGCACTGCAGTGCGACCCCGGGCCGGTGGGCCCACGCCACGGTGCTCCGCCTGGCTGGGCACAAGGCAGCACTGGCGCAAGGGGTCCACTTGGGGCAGCTCCATGCCCAGCCCTGTGTCCTCTCCCTGGGCATCCTGCTCGGCTGTGCGGGGTGCTCCCCGAGGTGCTGGAGGGGTGGCGATGGAGCCGCTCCGTTGGGCAGTGGCTGGGGGCTCTGCCAGTGCTCCCGAGTGACAGGCCTGCGCGCCCCTGCTGTGCAGCTACCAGAGGAAGTACATGTACCAGGACGTGAGCCGCACGCTGTGCCAGCCCCAGGCCAAGACCGAGTTGGAGACGCAGTTCTTCTACGTGGACGTGTCCACGCTGTCCGTGAGGAACGCGTCCTACCAGCTACGGGCCACCCGCGTGGAGAACTTCGTGCTCAGGTGACGGGGCAGGGAGATGCCCCCGGCCATGCTCTGCCCTCCCCCCGGTCTCTGCAGCCTCCCGCTTGCCTTGGCAGCCTTCCCGGCAGCCAGCCCCGGACCTGGAGCAAGCCGGCCGGCCCCACTGCCCTTCACCGGCTGGACGCGGGTGTAGGGGCGGTGGGCCACAGCGTCTTGGCCACGCAGGACAGGGCGCTCTCACTCCCGATTCTGACGCTCTCTCTGCACAGGACGGACGAACGGTTCAGCTTCAACGCCACGGCCGCCCAGCCACAGGTAACGAACGCCCTTCCAGCACCTGGGGCCGCGGCAGGGAGTCGGGGGGGAACGCGTGTGCAGCAACATGGCCAGGCCCTGGCTCTCTGGGCACCCTGAGGCACTCATGTCCTCACTGGGGGAAGGGGCTGTGCGAGGACCAGGCCCCCATGTCCCTCCAACCTGGCATCTCGGGCCGGTGCAGCAGCAAGGGGTCAAGGGGCAGGGGTGGGAGCAGGCAGCGCCGCCTTGGCAGTAACGGGCCCTTTCTCCCCCACGCAGTACTTCAAGTATGTGTTCCCAAAGGGGGTGGACTCAGTGATTGTGAAGGTAACCTCAGCCATGGCCTTCCCCTGCTCCGTCATCTCCATCCAGGACATCCTGGTGCGTTGTGGGGGGCAGGCACTGGGATCCCTTTTTGTGCCCCCTCCCTTGGCCCAGCCGCAGAGGCGCCGGCTGGTCTCTGCCGCTGACTCTGCTCCCTGCCGCCCCCGCAGTGCCCCGTCTACGACCTGGACAACAACGTGGCCTTCATCGGGATGTACCAGACCATGACCAAGAAGGCGGCCATCACTGTGCAGGTAGGAGCGCCGGCTGCCGTCCCACCCGCCGGCACGGCTCTGCCGGCAGCAGTCTGGGAGCCCGGACGCGCCGCGAGCTCCGGTGCCGGGTAACTTCCATTAGCAGAGGCTGGAGGTGTTATCGGAGAGACGCGCTCCCCGTGGCCTCGCTTGCACCAGCATGTTGGCCCTTTCCCCACGGCCTGGGCCGTCCACTTTGTCTGCCCCCATTCATGCCCCTGTGGCTTATCCAGTGCCCACGGCACGGGGCACGTGGATCTGCTTTCGTGGCAGCCCTGGTGTCAGCCTGAGCCACTCGCCCAGAGCCCCTGGCTGCCCCGGGCGGCTCCTGGTAACCCTGCTCTCTCCTTCCCGGGGCGGCGGTGGCAGAGGAAGGATTTCCCCAGCAACAGTTTCTACGTGGTGGTGGTGGTGAAGACGGAGGACGAGGCCTGTGGCGGGGCTCTGCCTTACTACCCCTTCTCCAAAGGTATGGGCGAGGTGGGCTGGGGCGCGGGAGCCAGCTCCGCTCGAGCAGCGTGCTGGCACGGTGACATCCAGCCTTTTGCTCTTCCAGACGAACCCGTAGATCAAGGCAACCGGCAGAAGGCGCTGGAGGTGGTGGTGTCACCTGCTATTACCTGTGAGCGGCGGGCCGCAGCAGGGGTGGGGCTGGGGCTGCTCCGGGTGAAGCCGTTCCCCTCCGCGGGCTGCCGGCCACGATGCCCGGGCCGCTCGACACCCTCCCTGCAGGGCGGCAGGATCGCTGCAGGAGTGCCTGGGGGCCCACACAGATCAGGCTCCCCTGGCTGTTGGGGCAGGCCCTGGCCCTGGCAGCTGAGGCTGGGGAGCAGCGCTTGTTTCCATACCTGGGAAGGGGGTCTCCACCCTCCGTGGGGTGGCCGTAGCTGGGCCAGGGGCTGGGGCCTTTGTCGGACAGCACGATGGGAGCCCACAGGCATGGTCTGTCCAGAGATCCCGGGGCAGAGTGAGCTGGGCCTGGGGCGGGTGCTGTGCCCCCGGCTGAGCCCCCTCCCTGCTCGTTGTCCCTGCAGCGGAGGCCTACATTAGTGGCATGCTCTTCTGCCTGGGCATCTTCCTCTCCTTCTACGTGCTGACGCTGCTCATCGCCTGCTGGAAGAGCTGCAGGTGAGTGCCCGCG